ATGTATATAATCTGTTTCTACTTGGATATTCTCATTCTCAATGACCAAAGTTACTGACAACATTACATCTGTACTATATAGATAGTGTTGGAAACTGCTAGGCACATGGGCTTGCTGAGATTATAAAAGACCTGATCTGAATATCAAGGTCTGGCTAGGATAAGCTAGGTTCAACACACTCATTCACTTGGCCTGATTACCAAGTGAAATCAGCCAGGTTACTTACTCTGTGCTAAGCTAGCTAAGCTCACTAATTATTCTACAATAATACAAGCCAGATAATATACTATAAATCAAATGAAATTAAAATGGAATCTGAGGAAACTAACTACATATTACTCTAGTCTATAATAATGGTATGTTAAATCAATATTAATGATTGAATAAACAATCTTATCATTACTCAAGTTGTTTTGTTGTCATAAAAGTTTTTTAATACCATTAATGTCGAACAAAAAATTAAATATTTTTTCATCACTAAAGTTGTTTTGTTGTCATAAAAAAATATTGATACCATTAGTGTCCAACACAAAATTATTATTATTATTTTTTTTTCAGGTTTCCATTTTTAGCTTAATAGAAACAAAGACAAACTTAATATTACTATGAGAATAAGTTATCCAGAATAACTGCACTGAAGCTACATACAGTCTCGTAAAATGCATATAGCTTGTAAGGATGCAACAGCAACAAGGAAAGTATCATCAAGAAGAGATTATACTGTGTTTACAACTTCAATAGTTACAAAATTAAGTAGAGTACCAAAGCAAGATAGTAGTTATCAGTTATGCCAAATATCAGAAAAATGTGTGTAGTGTCTATGTATTGAACGTGAATGTTTAGTGATAGGAATAAAGAAAGGAACAAAAATTTCTGTTAAGTTACAAAATGTGGTGTCTGTAAGAGCTCAGATGATGCATAACAGTGGAGTTTCAGAAGATTACATGTACTGTTTTCTCAGAATAGTCTTATATGGGGAATTCAAAATATTTGCAGAAAATCTTCATATGACAAAAACGTGTTATGTTTTCATAGCTATTCTAATATCAAATAAAACATGTATAGTCATATTACATGCAATACTAGACCAATTTTTATGGATAAAAAAAAAAAAATAAATAAAAATAAAAAAATGAAATAAACAAAAAAATAAAAATCTAGTTTAAAAAGTCATACCCACCAAACAGCTTGAATTTGGAAGTAAAAGTTCAGGACTTCTTGTGGAACTATAAATGTACTACAAATAAGTTGCTAGTTTCATGTTATGATAAGAAAATACTATGGTAAAGTAAAGATGTTACTCAGTTATGAAAATGTTGACCAAGTGGCTGTTGGAAGACCAATAAATTATGGTGGATAGGCTAGCACAAATACTGAAAATTTCTGTGAAGTCTGTGCACAGCAACTTAATAAATAAATTGCAACTCTGTAGATTTTCCACCCAGTGCATCCCAAGATTGTTGTGCTATGACAATTGGTGATAAGAGCCAATTTTGTATTATTACCTGCACAGTGGAAACAAAGAATACACTCACTACCTCTTCCTAGTCCCAATTCATCTATCAAACATACTTTCTGTTTTATCAGAATTTTCTACAAACATTTTGATTTGGTTGTACTTTTTGGGATTGAAAAAAGCAGAACTTTTATGTTGTTAAAGTGTGACTTGATGAATGTAACATAAATTCAAAAGACAGATGAATAAGAAAAAGAACCAGATCAGCTGAAAAGCTCAAACGCTGAGAACAATCTACACTGTAATAGCTAGAACATGTCAACAAAATTAAGGCTAATAAGCCTAGAAAAAAGGCCACCATTAGAAGATAATCTTATAGCACTTTATAGCAAATGACTGGGGATTTGCTTTCAAACAATGCTAAAATTCTAATGACTCATAAACCATAAATATATCTTTAATGAAGAAAGATCACCTTACAAAAGCATGAATGACCGAGACCAACACATCTATCTATCACTGACTTGGCAAAACAGGACAGCTCTATCGATATGAAATATGTGCCAGCAACTGGTATCACAGACAGATTCATACTGTGCTGGTAAAGCTTCAGTCAAATGACAATACAATGGCCCCAAAACAATGCAGTAGTACACACAGAGCAGCACAGACAATAGTTTAAGTTATGTAGTAATAATACTCTTAACACAACATTGCATTCATACAAATGTAGTACAAAAGCAGCACAGTAACATCACAAATGTAGCACATGTTGTGTATGGGTATGGCAAAAGATTTTTGTGTTTTGTTTTATCTGGAGCCCAAAAACATTATGTCTTCATTTTATGACTCAATTCCAACAGCATTACAATAAAAATGCAATATGTAACACAAAACTTTACTTGTGCATAGGTTCACATGTGCAATAAGGAGATTCTCGTAGATTGGTGTGTATCATTAATGCAACCATTAGCACAGTGCAATGGAAATATAACATAACTGTCTACAGGAGTGATGAAGAGAAAGAAATATAACAAGAAGGGAGGTTTTACTATGTTAATATTGCAATCATATTCTGATGTATTAATATATTTACTTGCATTTGTATTGCAAGCAAACTTGCAATACAAATTATATAGTAGTATGGCAATTATATAGTACATATGAGACAGGAAAGCCAAGTTACAACAATCAAAATGTCAACAAAGTCTTATGTTCATCTGAACTTTATGAAATAAGTCTCTCACACTCAGCAAAATACATCTCTATATATAGAAGTATAAATACATAATGTATGTGCACACACACACACACACACACACACACACACACACACACACACACACACACACACACATACACACTCATTTAAACATATTCATACACAAGTCATGGCTGTCTTTAGTGAAGAAGTTTTAATAAAAGTATTTGTACACTGACAGCATCAGCTGTAAAGATAGTATCTATCAGTAAATTATCAGTACTGTTTTGAAAAATTAACAGAGTCCCATTCTTGTAACTGGCTTAACTGCTTGAATTGACATATATAACTGCAAAGGCTACTGTACATAAATTTTCATATCCTGTAGTGGGTATAAAGTGAGAATATCTAAATTGAATTATTGGACTAATTAAAGATTACGGGGGGCTGAACTTGTTCATGCTGGTTTACTCGTCTACAAGTGAAAGATCTCTAACTACGTCAGCCTTCTGGTATTTTTTAGTACAGAAAGATCAATCACTTTAAAAGTCCCTGAAGTCAAAGACCTGAATGCAGCATCAACACTGGAGAACAGAGGACAGAGAAAATCTGGAGTAAAATACTTAAAAGTTAATGAACACTTTGAAGGATATTAACTATATGTCTGTTAAAGAACTGTAAATGTAAACAATAACTTGGTGGTATATTTGGAATACTGCGTACAACAAGCCAGTCGGCACAACACAGGTAAAGATTATATATATGTATATATATAAATATATATATATATATATATATATATATATATATATATATATATATATATATATATATATATATATATATATATTTACATATATATATACACAATGCTACATCCATCCAGCTTGCACTGCACCAACACAATAATACGGAGCTCAATGTTTACAGTGAAGTGAGCTGGTACAGCCCCTTCTCATCAGGTATGCAGGCCCACACAGACAAACCTTTCTGTCCTGGTAGTATTCGGCGGCCATGCTCTCTGCCGCTGCCTGCGCCTGATTGCTCACTAGTTTCTGGTGGGGAAGCTCATGTCAGCTCTAAGCTCTGGGTTATAGCAAGGTTACTACAGCTGGGAGACAACTCATTAACAGTAACTAAAAAGGCCATGTCAGCCATCCTTGTTCAGCCACCTGGCCTCAAGAGAAAGCACATGCCCACAGGTGATGAAATCTGTGTTCATATTCAACAGATTCATGGTAGGCTTAGCACCTGATAAGAGTAAATAGAACCAAAAACATATCTTACCTAAAATCAGAGGATAATGTGTAATAATATGAAAGTTAAATGCTCTATTCCTTCTTCATGAAATTTGTCTTCCATATTTCTTACACATTTTAGAGGATACTCTGGTTGTACTGAACAACATGTGCTTCCTCCCTGTTTTCAATATTATGAGTTATCAATAAAAGCTGCCATAAAGACCTGACAGGAAGTTGATAAAGTTTATGGCAATAGACTCCATGCAACCGATTTTCCAAACAGCATGTTGACAGTGTAGGGTAGAGGCAGGGGTTACATTGGCTGGAGTATTTGTTAGATTTGTAAATATTTCCAACCTACCTTACTGCATCAGAAAAAAATAATTTGAAATTGACTTGCTTGATAGCATTAGTAATATTTTTTTCTTGCTATAATAAAACAGTTAGTATTTTGTAATAAATGAAGGATAATTTCCCGCATCACTTACCCTCTTTATTTGTTTAACCCTATTACCTTCTTTGATATGATCTTACTTCAGTATTATATCTTCACTGATATCTACAACTTTTAGCAATACAATTGTTATAAACAGACCCCAAGGTAATTCTTGTAGATTGTAGATAGCTAGATTGCAAGGTTCCGAATCCTTGTCAAGGAGGATAGTTATACAATGCTGCCATTATCTTTTACTGGGTAAAATTTCAGCTCAATCAACCTACAAAGAAAATTTACCTGAAACTTCTTATACATAGTTACTTCTTAGCTCACTCATGATTTTGTAATTATTACACATTACTGTCCATGTTAAAAAACTATCACTCCATATTATCCACTCATATTAGTTCAGTTTTCCATGTTACTTAACACTTTTCAGTCAATCCTCAACACTTTTCATTAGCATAGATGTTGTTGACAAAAGCTTTATCAGCCTACACATCTTATTGGTAATGTGGACAATGTGTTGATGTAGCCTGGAAAATCTTGAAAAATAATTCTGATGTCAATAGAGTACGTTAGTATAGAGCAGAGGTTTCCAAACTGGTACAAATTAACTGAGCACATTTCCTGAAGGATTTGAGGGTTGAATTCTGAAATACTTACATTGACCTCTGAGTAGACGATATCAATGAAGCTGCCAAGCACAATGATGAAATCAAACACATTCCACGCGTCGCCAAAGTAATACTGCAAACAGTACAGAAAGTGAAGAACTGATTAGCTACGAACAAAACCTAATCTACTCTGACTACCAGGCTGAGGCAGGCAGTCATGGTTCTACTGGCATGGCCAAGAACTGCTCTCAGTGACAAGGACCAGAGTCATAGTGGGATTTGGGAGTTTATCATGTCTATGGTGAGATGCTGGATTTAGGCAGCAGTAAGTGTTGCTGCAGGTTGGATGGAGAATACAGGATGAATGAGGCAGATATGAATATTTTATTACAAAGGAGGTGTTCTTATGGCCTAGATTTTTGTGTTTTATATACTGACTGATATTCTTTAATGCTCTTCTTTTCAAGACAATAACAGATCCAAACTCAGTTTCTTGCCAAAAGAACATCTCATGTACATACTGTTAAGTTAATATTTGGAGGACACAGCTACAGCAGCCTCCCACTGAAAATAAAACTTGTTAACAAGTCTTACTGCAGTTTAAGGTAGTTCCGAGCCCAAGCTACCTCACTCGGCAGACTACCATCACCATACCCTTGAGGACCTGTCACATGGACAGTGTGGGGAAGGTTGCCTACTCTCACCTTTGGAGTAACAGAATTTAAAATCAACATTTGTGAAAGTTAAGAGCAAGACAGGTAACAGATAATACGTGGACTTTTTACACTTAGAATGTTTTATCGGTCAGGTGGGCAAACCTCCCAACGTTTAACTGTTTAGTTTCGCATTCTTGTAGCCATAGTGTTATTGTCATCAGTCCCTACAGCAGCAGCTACCCTACTAACGCTGTCATGAACTCTGGTACGTTTCTTACAAACCTCCAGCTTGGAGTAGGCAATGTCGAGTATACTGCCCAGCACCACAAAGAAGTCAAAGATATTCCACGGATCTAGAAAATAAAACTGCAAATAGCGCAGAGGATGAAAATAAACAGGGCATTACTATGGACTTTTAGTAACCTAACTTATCAAAAATAAAATATCAAAAATTGACTTTAAAGCTGCAATGAGAAAATAATACCCTTTTTTGGATTTGTTAGTGCAGGGGATGAGGGTGCAGCTAATGCAAATGCTGTGCAGTGTTTACTTTTGTTTATTATGAATGATGTTTATCAAAGTTGATGTGTATTTTGTGTGCATTTTGAAATTAATAACACTGTTTACAAATGCACCTGAAATATAGTTATATAAAATAAGCATAAATACATTTTCATCTTTGTAATAAACATAGGAACTTGGTGGCTGAAAACTAACAACTTGTTAATGAAGTTGTCAAGATGAAATGCAGTAACTGGTGAATTAGTACCTGGTAACAAATGGCACTAAACATTTTAAGCTGAATTAAAACCTGATGAGATAAAACATATCTGAAACTAAATATTTTATCCCAAGCACAAAGACCTTCATTAATGTGATTCTGTTTGTCATGTGTAATGTTATATCATACTAGATATACAGATTACTGAAAAATTGTAACTACATGAAGCAGAATATCTTCATATGCTTGTGGGTTGCAAAGCATTTGGAACTTGGATTCTGATAACAAAATATATTTATACACTCTTTCAGGCATGAAAATAAAGAAATCTTGTCTTTTGTAATATTCTTGTGCCCTATAGAAAACTAATGTGCCCTTTTCTTTTAATTGTATGTAGTGTACATTAATACTGTAAATAATTTAGTTCACCACACAAGAGTCTGCTATAAGTAGTGATATCTAAATCTGCGTAAATTTGTCCCAAATATACGTAAATGAGAATGAGAGGTAGTTAAAAGAAAAGTGATTCAGCAATTTTGAATAGTAATAAAAAGTTAAGCACATTCTGGTAATCTATTGTGACCTGTAATGTGAAATTAGATTTTAGATATTTCAAGGGTTTTATAAATCTAGCATTTTGCAGCAACTGCAGCAGCCTGAAAATAACAAAGAATATAAATCACATAATTATCATACTAAAGGATATATGATAAATGAAGCCCCTCTAAAATCTGACATCTTTAACAGTCACTCCAAATCCTCCCCTAAAAGTCGTTCCCAATCATAAAAAAGGAAGAGAAAATACTTTCATGGCTTCTTTATGAATGAAGAGTACACTCTTGTAATAAGCAACCTGCAAATCAAAACTGAAGATACATCTAAGACAGGGACAGTGGTGGATTTAGAGGACACTTACCCCTCCCACAGAATAATAATAAAAACAACAATAATAATAATAATAATAATAATAATATTAATAACAATAATAACAATAATCATAACAACATTTTTACTATTACCATTGCTATTATTGTTGTTATAATTACTATCATTGTTATTGTTATTATTATTATGATCATTATCACCATCCTCATCATTATTATCATTATTACTTTTATAATTAGTAGTATTATTGCTATTATCATTTCTATTATCAATACCATCACCATCATCATTACTGTGGACTCGACACTAACTCCCCAACATAACGCATTGCCTCTTAATGGATTTTCTAGATCCACCACTGAACAGGAAATAAATATTTCTGTTAATCAGGGCTAGTTTTAGCCTGTTATACTTAAATGGTGGTAGAAATAACAAGCAGACTCACCCCTATTCATAACCAGTGATGCCCTTACTGCTAATTCAGAGTAATGGCAATATAATTTACACTTAACTAAACAAATAATGAAGTACTGGATACTGTCATTATCAAGTTTATTTTAAAACTCACAATTTTCTAATTGCAGTAGAGACGATACAAATAAGGTCAGGTAATAAATACTTGGCGTTAACCCTCTATGTAGACAATTGGTAATAAACTATGTAATATATCTAACCCTCCATAAAAAAATTACATGATCCTCCAAATGTAGTGTAGACAAAAATCCAATTATAGTTTATAACTATTCAAAAAAATTATTCTTAATTATTCTAAATTGGCTATAACTCATAATCATAATCCAAAAATAAGAATAAGAAAATAAAGTAGATACAAGAAAATCTCACTAAACTTGATTCCAAAGCGACTAAAATACTAGTTCACATGCACGACCCAAAAAGACGTATCTATCTGTTTGGGAAAAAAAATATATATATATATATAAAAAATAAAAAAACAATAAAAGAAAAAAAATCACTCTCCAGAAGTGAGGAAAAAAATATGTAAAATAATCAAAGAGAAAAGATTACCTTGAATCTGAAGGCCATAATCTTGAGGACAAACTCAAGGGCAAAGACAGCAGTGAAGATGAGATTGAGAATATCAAGGGCATGAGTGTAGGCCTCTGGCTCCCCACGGAACTTCATAGCTAGGGAGACTGTGTTCAGCATAATTAAAGTGAAGATTGCGTATTCAAATGGCTGTGATGTCACAAACCACCAGATCTTGTACTGGAATCTGTTCTTGGGAATGTAACGCCGCACAGGCTTAGCCTTCAGTGCAAACTCTATACAGTTCCTCTGTGGAAAGAAGAAGAAACGCTGAAGTGTGACTCTGAGGCAGGGAAATAATGTCTGATGGATCCTTTATGTTCTATTTGACAGTTCCCTATCTTGTAGTCTTGCTATGTCAAATGACTACTTTATCCTATCCCATTACATAGACTTATAATACTCCTATAACTTTTAATGAACTTTGTAATAACCTTGATATCTTCTAATGGTCTATATATGCCTTCCAAATAACTATTTCCTCCATGATGACTATTGTTTTTTCACCTATTTAAATACTTTATTTCCCTGTAATGTTGGAAACTGCAGACTACAATGAATATTTTCTTTTCACACTTACATCACCTCTTTCCATGATTATGTACATATCATCCCTTTTTTTATCTTTATAATTGTAAACTGCCTCTAAACAAGAATTTTGTCTAAGTATATTGAATCTATCACTAAGTAACCATAACTTTTTGTCACCCAGTCTAATGATTCTATCCACTCTCATTATAAAAATATCTATTTTTTTTATAGACTACACCTCTCACTTGGCTCTCTCTGGCTCCCCCAAAGACACTGAATAACTCAATACATATCCCAATACCTAAAATCTTTATCCATAAGTTCCTTCCAGAAAAAAAAATGAAGCACCCATAAATTTCTTTGACCTTTCTAAAGATGATACTATAATAAAACTAAAACATACCTGATTTTTGTCTAAACAACAGTTCTTGTACTCTTGCTCTCCCTCGCTCTGGAAGGTGACAATAACAAAACCAACGAAGATGTTAACCATGAAGAAGGCAATGATAATGATGTAGATGATGTAGTAGATTGCTACCATGGGTCGGTAGTTATGTACAGGACCCACATCCTCCGTGTTGGAGTCGATGGAAACATACAGCAACCTGCAAGTGTAGCATAATTTACTGAGGGTTAGATGTAATTTCAAGTATGGTTTTTGAACACTGACACTCTAAATGATTGGATAAGAACTATCACAGTGCTTCCTACAGTAATAAAGTAATACATCATGCAACATTCTGTGACTTACCCAGGCCACCCCTCAAAGGTAGACACTGTGAAAAGGGTCAGCATTGCCTTGGCCACATTGTCAAAGTGGAATGAGTTCTTCTCCCAAACTCTCTTCTCCACCATGGGTTTGTTTATGTCTCCATCCTGATATACAATGTATTGGCCCCTGGAGGGTAGTAAAGCAGAGATAGAAACTTGAAAAAGTCAACAAATCAATGTAATGCAAAAATTAAGCCAAGAGAGAGAGAGAGAGAGAGAGAGAGAGAGAGAGAGAGAGAGAGAGAGAGAGAGAGAGAGAGAGAGAGAGAGAGAGAGTCTGAGAGAGAGAGTCTGAAAGAGAAAGAGAAAGAGAAAGAGAAAGAGTGAGAGAGAGAGTGAGAGAGAGAGTCTGAAAGAGAAAGAGAAAGAGAGAGAAAGAGAGAGAGAGAGAGAGAGAGAGAGAGAGAGAGAGAGAGAGAGAGAGAGAGAGAGAGAGAGAGAGAGAGAGAGAGAGAGAGAGAGGGAGGGAGGGAGAGAGAGGGAGGGAGAGAGAGAAAGAGGGAGAGAAAGAAAGAGGGAGAGAAAGAAAGAGGGAGAGAAAGAAAGAGGGAGAGAGAGAGAGAGGAAGAGAGAGAGAGAGAGAGAGAGAGAGAGAGAGAGAGAGAGAGAGAGAGAGAGAGAGAGAGAGAGAGAGAGAGAGAGAGAGAGAGAGAGGGAGAGAGATTCAGAAGGAGGAAGACAGATAAAGATGGATATATATAGAGAGAGACAGACTGCTGTATTTATGATACTGTATGCTAAATATTATGCTGATTTACCACTAGAATGTTAATCCATGCTTAATTACTGTTCAGTCAAAGGCTTACTGAGAGTTTACTTGAATATCTGTAGTAATATAGAAAGGCACTGGAGTGTTTGTGATCTGCTTCTGCATATGTAATATGTTATATATTTACTTAAATGGCTTTAAATTGTCAAAAACACAATATAAGCGGCTAAATCAGGATGCCCAAACTTGGTGTGTTGGCCATGATGAAATGGCAAGTTCTGGGTAAAATGACTATATAGTAGACATTACAAGAAAGTGCAATAGACATGTGAGAATATCTGGAAAAAGCAAAGTAAAAATATAAAGTTTGTCTCTCCTTGCCTTTGCACTAAGTATCACTGAACCTTCTATGGTCTTTTATCAAATTACAGCTAGAAACTGTATCAAGTTAGACAAAGATACTGCTAAATACTTCATATTATAAGCCAAATACAACAATGTGCCAAAAGTAAATTTCAAAGTACATAAGTCACACACAAAAAATCATGGTATCAGTGTTATGGAAAAATACGCAATGCCCCAGAGGTCTGTATAGTTTAAAATATGTCTCATTCAATGTAATAAAAAAATCACAAGTGCATAAGAACTCAGAAGGTTAAGTGTCATTTACAATGGCAGAAAAAAAAAAAAGACTGACAGGTAAACATATACAGGTTTAATACATGGGTGACCTTTTAAATTGAATGTTAAAGTGACCTTTCAATATCATATCAAAGGAACCAAGACATAACATGGTATAGGTGCCTGGGAAATGCAGGTCTGATCTTGGGGATGAGTAACCCAACTCATGATCATCCTTCCTGAAATTTCTAGGACTCAACAGTTCTTAGAGGCAGACAAATTTCACTGTGCTGCATCACAGATCACATCATTATCAAGTGCTATCCATAGATTGGTGTGATGCAAGGTCTCTGCAACCACAGCAGCTGGAGAGACTAAGATGACATGCGAAAGTAAATTACAATTGTTATATGAACACTGCCCTGATTATAGCTGAAGTGTAATCTGCTGTCTCTTGCAATCACAAACATGAAATGCTGTGACACGCAAAGAATATTAGACATTCACCATAAGAAATTGTGAAACAAATATAACATCTTTCAAAGAATAACGTTTAATACACTTTAAGTATGATGGTTATATTCATTACAGATGATGCTGGTAATTTCACTTCTTGCAAGCAGGAGAAATATCACTGTGCAAATTAACAATATGCTCATGCAACAAATGCCATTATATTAGAAAAACCACAAGAGTGGCTCTTGTTGCTATAATAAAGATTATGAAGCTCATTCTTTTTTACTTTTAGTCAGGCAGAGGAAAATACAAATTGTTTCTAGCGGTCAATAGCCTCACTTGGTCCAATTGTAATGTCACTGATTCTGTCCTTGACTGAAAAACAATCACTTCTACAATTTGCAAATCAACATCTATCATCATTCCGTCATTAATAACTAAATGGTCATTTTGGAAGCAAGAAGAGGAGAGACACAATACTGAATTATCTATTCATACACTTCTGCTGAAAGATTTTCCATGTTCAAATGATGAAGCAATATAAAGGTTTTTTTCTGTTGCTAATACATTTATTCATTATATTTACCAGCAGAAAAAAAAAGTTTATATAGACATATGAAAATTATGTGAAATTTTGCCAGTAAGGCAATATAGCATATAACATTCTATTAGGCTTAAAGTGAATCATATCATATATGTTTTGTAAACAAACAGATAAGTTTGAAAGACGAGCAAAATGATTAACATTTATTAGATGGTGACGGTCACTTGTAGTTCCAGAAAACGTTTCCTGATCAATCAATATCAGAATAAATGAAAGTTCTGAACCATAAAGAGTAAGTAAGAAAAAGAATGGTGGTTATATTCTAGCCCACACAGACTGAACCCTGAGCTAAACGCCTGCTCAGTTCAAGATAGCTGTCATTATATGGCAGTTAACCTGGGTGGGCGAACGCAGCATGGGTCAATATGGTGGGAGCAATCAGAAGAAAGTAGTAACTTTGGTGAGGCGGGGGCACGCGTGCGGGGTTACTTACGACGCATTGCAATGCTCTACTTACTGACACTCCTCCTCGACTGATTTGGAAATATCATTGCAACTGAAGAACTTGCC